TTTTCGTCATTTAAATAAACAAATCTTCTCTTCTCTGCAGTGCAATGCAGCGGCCAAAAAACCGTGTGGCTTCATAACCAAAATAGAACGCAGAGTATAATCAGCAGGACTCTTTTAACCAGCTGGAGGCAATCGCAGCACCAATCAGCTGCTCCGCCCCACCGTGGCTGCGGATCCCGATCAAATGACACCAATCAATTATACTCCATTACATACATTAAATGATTGAATAATCAAAATAATAAATCAACGTTTTGGCTCCTACACTACTATTGCTGTTTAGGACTTTCATTTCCTTTTTGGCTGTACTAGATCAGGTATATTGTACTAACCAGGTGAGTTAAAGTTGAAAGCTCTCCTTCTCGTGCAGCTTCCAAAAGCTCCTCTTCCAGTTTCCTCTCCTCCGTTCTCTCCGCCGCTGATATCGATAAAACAATTGGATTTACAAGAAGAAAGGTCGGAGGATTTAAAAATATATACGTTATTTTAACAACTTGTATGAATAGATATTAAGACACTAAACATTGAGATCTATACAAATATGTTTTCAGAAAATCAGATGACAGCGTGTCTCTCTCACCTTCTAACATGCCTCTGATCTCTGCATTTTGAGTGACATCTTTGGGAATCTGTGCTGTCCCATTGATGACAGTAGCGCATGCATCATAGTGGAGCAGCAGCATGACAACCTCCTGATCAATACGTGATTGGTTTATTTATTGATTAATTCATTGAATGAATGGATGAATAATTGCATGCATGCATCAAACCATACTCATCAATAGAGAATCAAAAACAGTAGAAAGAGGCATTGAGGTACCTTTCGTCCTGTGAAAGCAGCTTTGTGCAGCGGTGTATCTCCCACATTATTCGGCAAGTTAACATCTGCACCTGCCTTCAGAAAGTACAAAAAACACACTCCATCCAAACATTCCGAATCTAAAGCTTTTTTTCAAATTGTATTAAAAAAAACCTACCTTTAATAATTCCTCCACTACATCTTTGTGACCAAAGTAACAGGCCAAGTGAAGAGGCGTCCATCCAAGGTTAGACTTTCGTTTACCTGAAAACAACACATTGTATTACATCAAACATCGAGATTGATAGTGTTTCATAAGGTCTGACTCATGTACCTCTGCAGTTTATGTTGATCTGTGTCTCTTCCTTTATCTTGGACATGAGGAGCCTCTGAATCCCAGCAAGATCTCCGTTCCGGGCGAAACTCAGAAACTGTTCCTCTGGCTCCAGCTCCTCCATGGACCCCTGCAGAGGAAGGAACAGCACAAAGAGATACTCTATATGTCTGAGACTAAACTGTACATAAAAATATGCTTTCAGAAGGACACATGCACAGATTCACTGAAAAGAGATCTACTGGCTTTAGAAAGTCCATGCTACTGATTATTTAGAGCTGAATAGCAAGTAAACTGAGGCGCCTCTAGCTTATTCTATCGAGGAAACATTTGAATAATTTTGGAAGAAAACAAAAAGATACTACAAAAGTATTACGTAAAAGAAATGCAATACCCTATTCATAAAGTTAAGGGACTTACAAGAAAGATACGAAAAGGGATAACGTCCACAGCTGCAGTTTTAATTGTCAACTCACCTCTTCCAAACACCACACCTCAGTTTTGTAACCCAGGCTTTCAGCTAAAATGTGTGTGTGTCTCCAAACCAAAGCGTCAGGTCAGGGAGTATCAGGCACTCTACACTTTGTAAAGTTTTAAGTACTCCCTGTGAAAAGTAAACTGTACTTGATGAGTAAAAGCATTGGAGTGCACTTTTAAAGCGACTCTTCAAACCTCTAAGAGAAGTTGTGACTGGTAATATACATAATAAGTCGTCATATCACTTGGTTAGGGCATGTGAGGACGAAAGTCACAAGAGCCTGTTTTGCCATGCAGTGAGTACAAAGCAACTGTCAGAGTTATTACACAATATGGTCATCAGACTAGCTGTACAGGAAGGAAACCTCTCTTTCCCCTTTATACTGTCTAACTCCACATGACCATATTTGCAGTTAAAGGTTGGTATGCAGAGACAAAAAACAGAACGTATGCTTTATGTAATGCCATGGAATGTCACATGGCTATGACAAATAATAAATTAACCGCATCACCATCAGAGGATAAAAAAGAAGTCTGCAGAGAGTTCTCGACTGGCACTCAAACAGGTTGGGAAAGCATGTGACACTAACGGTTACTAAGCCTGTCTTTCTACTATACACCTGCAGACACCTGTACACTTTAGCAACAGCATTATTGGAGTATATGCAGAGCTTTAATGTTTAAAATCGCTTATTCATATGAATGTATTATGGTACCTAATCTAATCGCTCCTTTGACCTCTTACATTTTTTTTCTAATATTTTAATAAACCAAAAATGTTGAAGCCATTTTTTTAATGAATAAAATGCCTTTTTTATTTGGGTGTTTTGACTATTAGTCTGGTAAAGCAAGCAATTTGAATACATCACCTTGGGCTTATTTTTCCATTTCATGCACCTTTTCATTTGTATTCCATTTACTTTTTATTTATTCCACAACTTGTTAAGAGGCAAAGATCCTTAATTTTGTATTTCATTTATTTGAGAGCTTTACAAGTTAATTTCCAGATGAATAATTACCATTAAAAACACATTACAAGCTTATAACATTGCTTTGCTTTTCCAGATGCCTTCGAGTAAACATACAAATAAATGGACTCATAATAGTTTGGGGACGTAAACGGTAAAACCATTTTTTTTTTAAATAATCTTTTTTATTGCTCAAATCAAAACGGTTGTAGACTAAATGTGTGAATGGAAATATAGCCGGAAGCGATGACAGCTGTAACCAGGTGACATGAAACCAGCTGATGTCTCATTAGAAAAACACAGCTAATAATCAGTATTTGAGGAAGTGATCCTTCACTTAAGTGTAATTACTAATTGGGACTAACACGTTACACAGTAACGCGTTACTGTAACGCAACTACTTTTGTAGTAACTAATAGCGTTACTAGTTATCTATTCCCATTAAGTAACGCCGTTATAGTTACTGTGATTTAAATGGGTACGTTACTGCGTTACATTATGTGATGGAACTGAACCGAATCTCCCTGCGGATGTAATTTACAGGCGAATACAGCGATGTCCTCTCACAGTACCATGGAAAAGTGAAAGTAACCAGAGAGGAGTGATGATTGTTAAAGCGGGGTAACATTTCAGGGTAAGCCAATCAGAGACAGAGTTGGGCGGGTCTTGCCTTATGGGGAAAATACACACACACACTTGCTAATGCTGCTAACACACACACACACACACACACACACACACACACACACACACACACACACAAACACAGACACACATACACACCCCCACACACACACACACACACACACACACACACACACACACACACACACACACACACACACACACACACCACACACACACACACACAACTTGGAAATATAACCACTATTTTCAATTTGGGGGACAAAGGACACCAAAAAGCTTACGGTAAAATCTAAACTGTGTGCAGGACAGAAAGCATTGTCCACATCGAATAACAGCAATGCCAATCTCCTGAAGCACCTAACTAATGTACATGGGGCTATAAAACTAGTCACCACAAAGACCCCACCGTCTCAACAAATGTCTAAACATATCTTTTGTGTTTTATTGTTCCACTACATTTCGTAATGATAATTGCTACAATGATGGGGAGTTGTCTTTTCTCTTACTGTGCCACAGAACAACACAAAAACTTGTATTTGTATTGTTATTATTTTTAAAGTAAAGTAAAGTAACTTGTTACTAGTTACTTTTATAATTTAGTAACTAATAAAGCAACTAGTTACTTTTTTGAGAGCAGTAACTATAACTATTACTAGTTACTTTTTAAAAGTAACTTGCCCAACACTGCTAATTACACAGTGTAAACATACTTAATCACACAAGAACACATGCAGCATAATTAGTAAATTATGTTAGGAGTATGTTCTCAAAGTGGAGAAAGTAGAACACTTGTCCCCTTTGACTGTAATAGTATAATAATACATAATTAGTATTATTCATGCACATTTTGAGATATTGTTGGTAAAACTGACTTAATTTTTTTTTTCTTGTTTGGCAAAAATACTGGAAATATGGTCACAAAGAGAGATTATCACAGTTGTTGTTTTGTGACAACCAACAGAAGAACCCTCAAAATGTTATTATAAACTACATTACAATTATTTAAATAATGTATAAGAAAATCTGCATATCTTCGCAGTTGGGAAGGTGACATGTTTTCTTTTTAAAAACCTGCTAGATAAATACAGTAGGCCTATGGTCAAAATTAAGATACTCCCCTCTGAAATGCAGTGAGGTAGAGGTAGAAAGTGACTTTATAGAAAGAAGAAAGGAGCTAGGCTACATTTTTTTAATTTACATTCCCCCTCAGCAATTGATAAGCAAACAGAAAATTAATATCAGTGACACTTACTGCTGTTTGTCTTCCAGTCCTGAAGTGAAATCCTCAGCCCTCACCAGGCCCTCTGTGCAGCTGCATGTGATGCCTTAAGCCCCACTGAGCTGTTTCCTGCTGCTGGCCTGCAGCACACACACACTCTGACACATCACCCTGAACACACTGTCATACACATCTTTCACATGATCGTCTTCCACCGACACCGAGCTGACTGATGGCGAAACAGCTGTCTGTGTCACACATCCACCGCTGCTTTCTGTTTACACTGCCATCAGCTGACCACAGCGGAACTCGCTCAAGGTAATCATTGGTCCCTTTCAAAATAAAAGCACTGCTAGTTATTTCAAACGCTGAATACTTTGTTAAGTGAAATTTCAGAAAAATTGTTATTTCATACAATGTAACCCATTAAAACGTATTAATCTATAAGGAAAATAACTAACTCCACACGCTTTTCCTTTGGCATTGTGTTTGTCCTGAAAGTTTTTATTTTGTTGAGTGAAAACACGTTGGTAACCTTTGCCCTGGAAGCTTTTATACTTCACACACGTACAGTAGAATGAGAGTCAACATGTAGTTCATTCATGGGCATTACATTTCATGTAGTTATCAGTTTCCCCCCCCCGAGTATATATTCAAGTTTGCATTAGCTGACACTTGGACAAATGGACGACATCATAAATCCGGAAAATGAAGGAGATCTTCTGGCTCAAGTAAGATAACTTTGCTTTTGCAACCTCTCTGATAATGTGAAGAAAATGTGGCAAGTTTTGTAGGTCTGCGTTCAATGTCTGTTTTGTTGTAGAGTAGTCATTTGGCCTTCGGATAATTGTGGCAAAAGTATTGGCAGGTGAACCATGAGGTATAACATCAGACCGTTTAACATTGTACACACACACACACACACACACACACACACACACACACACACACACACACACACACACACACTCACCTCAGGTTGTTACTACCGAGCTGCCTGGCTTCATTAGCACTGTGTGTGTGTGTGTGTGTGTGTGTGTGTGTGTGTGTGCAATGTTAAACGGTCTGATGTTATGCCTCATGCTGATGGACAGAACTGTGTTCATGATGACTTATATATTTACTTTTAATTCATTCACAGTGCGGTATAATGAGACAATAACAGGCTACAGTCGGGACATATATACAGTACACACACACACATATATATATTATATATACATTTATATAAATATATATACAATTTCAGATTCAAACAAGTATACTGAGTGATATATATTATACACACTGCTCTGCTTTCTGCACGGACCTCACAGCTGTTCTCACTGGAAACGTCACGATGAAAGCAGTTCATAAAATAATATCCAGGGGATGCATGCAGAGCTGTCATTGGCTGAGATAAGTCCGGCCGTGCGTCACGACTCTTTTAAACTTCACTGTTGCCGGAAATACATCCGCGGAGGACCCATCAGTGTATCCTCGGTTATAGCTCCTCCAGAGAGCCTCCTCGATCCTCGGTCCTCGAAGTGCATTTAGAGAAATGAGATGTCCTTCTAAATGTCGCGCTGAAATCCATTTCCGGGTCACTACCGGAGGACCGAGGAATCGAGGAGACTGCGCAACCCCATGGCAATCACATTTATACAATACATTTCTTTGTTGAGAAGCTTCATTGACATTGGCAGGAATCAGTGTAAGAGGGTTATAATGCATGAAAAGGCAGTAGACTTTACTAACCAAATATTGTAAATGTATTTTCTCCATATTGCCGAGATCTTTTTTTTTGGAAGATCAAATTATTAGTTCTGAGGTTAGTTTAATAACATGAGCTTTTCCTAAGTCCCTGCAGTTGGATTTTGATGGAAGGAAATTCAGTAGTACTAGTCCATATGCAAAAATTACTTTAGTATTTCATGTCAACAGACATATATAACTTATGCATTTGCTCTGTTTGTGTTTCCTCTCTTTCAGATTGAAGAGGTCGAGGCTCTGTCTTCCATCTATGGGGATGAATGGTGTGTCATAGATGAAGCATCCAGAATATTTTGCATCAAAATATCCAATGACTTGGAGGGATCAAAACTGACAGCATGTTTGCAGGTAGATAAAGAACACACCTTTCATGTATTAAACACACATCTCTGGCATTGTTTGTTTGGTTTCCTGTTTTATTATTTTCTTGTTATTGATCAGATAATTCTCCCACCTGATTATCCAAGTGCCGCCCCGCCCATCTACCAGATCAAGTGAGTGTAGAATCCGAGACCCTTTCAAATTTAATCTCACGAAGATCTGTTGAACTGATAGAACAACATCCCCCTCAAAAACCCACTCGTCCTCTTTCTCAATACCCTCTGTTTGCTCTCTGCTTTTGTAGTGCCGCTTGGTTACGAGGCCTGGAGAGGACCAAATTGGCAAACAGCCTGGAGGACCTTTATGTGTGAGTGCTTTTTGACTTCTCGAGGAGGCTTTGTATGGTGATATTAGCCACAACAAAGCTTTTTATCATGGTGGTTTCCAAATTGCAATCTTTTGTAGTCTGTCTCTCAGAGAATCCAGCCTCATATGTATTAATTTCAATTTCAACAGGGAGCATGTGGGGGAGAGCATCCTCTATCTCTGGGTGGAGAAAATAAGAGAATTCCTCGTAGAGAAATCCCAGAGCTCAGAAACAGGTGAGGTGTGAGATATTAAAATCTTGTTGAGGGACACACTTCCTCGAGCTGTGTGTAATGACTTGGAATTTAACTTGGACATCGAGTAGTGCAGTAGAGCTTAATTCGTACACAATAGCATGACTTTTTATTGCACTCATTTCCTAAGTTCCTGAAACAATGATACAGTGGGGCAAAAAAGTATTTAGTTAGCCACCAATTGTGCAAGTTCTCCCACTTAAAAAGATGAGAGAGGCCTGTAATTTTCATCCTAGGTACACCTTAACTATGAGAGACAAAATGAGAAAAAAAATTCCAGAAACCACATTGTCTGATATTTAATGAATTAATTGGTAAATTCCTCGGTAAAATAAGTATTTGGTCACCTACAAACAAACAAGATTTCTGGCTCTCACAGACCTGTAACTTCTTCTTTAAGAGCCTCCTCTGTCCTCAACTTGTTAACTGTATTAATGGCAACTGTTTGAACTCTTAAAGAAGAAGTTACAGGTCTGTGAGAGCCAGAAATCTTGTTTGTTTNGCACTTTTTAAACATTTTCATAGGAGTTATAGTGACATCGTCTTTTATGGCGAGGGATGCGTTTCCATGGAAACGGCATATGATGACACCCCCTAATTGACGTAGAGCTGTTGAGGGCTGGACCGTTAACCATTATCTGAAGTTTGGTGCTCTGAGCATGTCAGTTGGAGTTATGACATCATCGTGTTCCATGACACAGGTGTTTATATTTGAGCTAACGACGTGTCCAGAGATCAAAGGTTTCCATGGTGATGTGCAGTAATCAGTGAGAGGAGAGCATTTTCAATGTTCCGAATGAGAGATAAACCTCTTAAATGTAAATGTTTTGTTGAAGAACCGTAACAGATATCGGTGAAATTTCAAAGCGTGAAGCATGTCAAGGAACTTGAGCATCTGAAGTGTACTTTTTGTGTACTTTCGGGTTAATAATGTGGCCTTTTTGGCAGATTAACTAAAGGTGTGCGGCTGCTGTGGTGGGGAAAGATGAGGCTGAATTTACAATGGGGTTTAATCGAGACATGTTGAACGTTTTTGTCACTTCATGCCCTCAAGAGGCATTTTGTTTAATTATTTTGCTTATTTTCTATTTAGTTTTCAAGCTACGAGATGTTTTCCTACGTTTCTCATGAAATATAATGTCTCAGGAATGTAGGGTTTGGGAATTATGGCCACTCTAGCTGTGACATCACACACTCTAAAATCTGAAGAAGGCCTCTTTACCAAGGTCTGAACAATGTTCAATATCTCTAAAAGTACGAATCAGATTTAAAAGTTGTGTTACACGAATAATGTCAGAAAGATGTGTAACATTTTAAAGTTGGAATGAAGTTTCTGAGTGAAAGTATGAAGGAGCAGTTAGCAGTTGAAGTTGCATGAAGATTGTTCAAGTCTGAAGAGTTTCTTAATTGACTTCCATGTTAAAAATGTGATGAATTATGGGATGTATCTCTGGAATTATGAAACTTATGAATGATAAAAGTAATAGCCATCGATTCCCGACCGAGCTGAACGTTTTGATGTTCGAACGGAGTTTCTGCGATGTGGAATGTGGGAGAAGAAGAGGTGCAAAATAACCCTGCGGAATAATAAAGAATTTCGTGCGTAGCATAACAGGTAATGCTGTATCAGCATTCCCACTAAATAAAATAGAAAAACATATATTTATACTAACACAATAAAGGAGGTTAAATGTGTGCATTGTATAACATTTGCCCCACAATTCTTCTTACTTATATGTTCTGTTTTTTGACTGATAACTCTTTCAAAATTATATTGACATGTTGCATATTCTCATATTAGGGTACTAAATTAAAACACATGGGCCCAGGTATTATAAAATCGTAGAAAAACCAGACATTTCACAGAAATTTATGTTCGTAATCCTGTTTTTTCGTGTGTCAGTATTATTTCAGAAGACATACATTCTTACAATGAATTATATGGCTTGTAAAACCTGAGAACAAATGGACTTTAACTATCGGTAGACAAATTCACTGCTTCAATGCTTCTATTATTTATGAATTTTTTGGATTATTCTCTACTTATTTCTTCATATTTACCCAAGTCACAAATGTCAATGCATACAGAGCCTTCACTTTATATCTTAAGAAAATAGCATTCACATGGAAGGATCCGTTAGTTTGGACCTAAACAGAATGTTAATGTTAGATTGTGGTTACTTTAAAGGATTGAAGTATAAAGACTCGTATATTTTAGTAAAGGTTTTTTTTTGTGGAAATTCTTCTTTAATGCTTGCAACCATGCATTTGCTTTTATTTGTCCACTTTTATTTTGTCAGGATTGCTTTAGATTTTATAATAAAACATTGCTGCATCCTTAACTCTATACTATGACTCTGTTTATTAAATGCATTGTACTATGTTTAATTTGAAGTGTCATGGCCTAAACTAGTGTGCAATACAAAAAAACACAACTGTTCACTCTTTCAGCGTCCACCAAGAGTTTAATAGTATCCCAGTCATGACCCATTTTAACTTTTACATATTGATCTCTCAACAAACAAGGGCCTAAGTAAATTGTATGGGATTACAAATTTGAGTTTTACTAACGCAGGCACCATGAGACAACCCAGTCTCACGGCATTTCGTGTTATAGTCACGACATTTAATCTATTGATTCGTGTTCACCAACACGATTTTCACCTTTTTTACGTTTCACCCAGAACGATTTTAAAAGCAATGTATGTATATATGTCACTATATGTACAGATGTCCATTTTCACTTGTCACTTTAACTCATTTCGTACTTCATAATTTATATGACCAAATATGTATATATGCTGACAGTTATTTTACTCTTGTTTTTACTCACCTCCTATTTCATAGTCTTTTATTATTATCATTATTTAATAAAAAAAAATCTTGATTTTAATTTTGATTTTATTAATCCGTGTGAATCAGTGCTGTCCTGTTTTTCACGCTTACCCTGTTGCTGCTTGTACAACTGAATTTCCCCACGGGGATTAATAAAGGTCCATCTTATCTTATCTTATATTTCTATTGGTAGTATGTTTCGTGCCTGCACCACGTCATTTTGTCCGGTCGGGTCTTGGAAGACCAGAAGCTGTGTGGTTCATAAAAACATTTTCTTACTCAATATCAAACCACGATTATTGTTTTTATTTTAAATCGCCTAATGTCGGACTTTCTTTGTTGTCTGTGAGGAAAAGAAATGGGGCTCAGAGGCTCAAAATACTGAAATCTGTATTTTTTTTAACCTTTTTTTCCTTGTAATGTGTTATTCTTTTCTAAATAACACACTGTTATTTACTCAACAATAACACACAATTATCCTTGTTTTTATTTATTTGTTTAATTCTATAATTCTATCCCAATGCGCTGCTCCAGAAGGTTGGTGACTTCATCCTCGAGGTTGACGGCTGCTCCATCTCCCCATCTCCTGAAGCCCGCATCCTGGGTGTCATCCTCGACTCCACCCTCTCCTTCCACTCCCACGTCAAGTCTGTGAACAAATCGGCATTTTTCCATCTAAGGAACAAGACTCCGACCGTCACTCTCGGAGTCGGTTGCCGAAACCCTAGTCCATGCGCTTGTCACCTACTACTGCAATGGTCTCCTGTTTGGGGTTCCCAACAAAACCCTGGACAGGCTCCAGTTGGTTCAAAACTGTGCTGCCACGGTACTCACACATACAAAGCCGTGGCAGCACATCACTCCCACCCTCATCCACCTCCACTGATTGTAGGTCAAGTCCCGCATCACCTACAAAGTCCTCCTCCTTACCTACAAGTCCCTCCATGTCCATGCCCCCCAGTACCTATCGGACATCCTTCACCCACATGCCCCACCCCGGAACCTGCGGTCTTCAGACTCTGGCCTGCTCACCACCCCCCGCACCAAACTGCGAACCTTCGGGGACAGAGCCTTCAGCGTGGCAGCCCCCACACTCTGGAACGCTCTCCCTGCGGAGATCCGCAACATCCTCATGCTTGACGCCTTCAAAAGGGCCCTCAAGACCCATCTGTTCACCAAGGCCTTTGGCCCCTAATCTATTTGTTGTTTTTGTCTGTCTGACTGGTTGTCTGATTGCCTTTTGTTTTGTTATGTCTGTTTTGCCCTGTTCTTCCTTGTAAAGCGACCTTGGGTCCCATGAAAGGCGCTATATAAATCCAAGCTATTATTATTATTATTATTATTATAATCTTGGGCTTTTTTGCCGTTCCTCAGGAACTGAATTTCAAAATAAAGTCACCGGAAACAGAGTAGGCCTATAAGGGACATTTCGAGCATCATTGCAATACACACCCACTGAACTGATTACCCAAGATCCTCAGCTATGGTTGAAGTTAATATTTTTCGAGCTGTGTATATAACAAAACTTGTGAAATAATTGCACTAAACGGGGTTCTTTGTAGTACTTCCATTTACTGACGATGGGGGCGCTGCATAACTACGTAGCCTCGGTTAAAGCAAACAGAAGAAGACGACATGT